TTCAAGGTCACCCTCAGTAAGTTTGAGGTCAGCCTGGACTATATGATATGAGAACCTATCTCAAAAAACAATGGTTATAAGATAAAAAAAAAATTAGCTTCAATTTAATAAATAGATTTTAAAATGCAATGTTTCATACACAAGCCAACTGTACAGCAATAGAAAGGACAAGAACGTATGCAAATGTGACAGTATAGGTGGATCTTAGAAGCAATGTTGAGTGCAAGTTCATCATGTCATATTTATCAACCTACACTCAGTATGACATAGTTTTGTAATAGTTGAAGTTTAAAATATCTGAACAATATACTGCTTAATTAAACATACCTAAAAAATTAAATAGTATTTTGAAATGCAAAGGTCCCAAAGGACAAGATTCTGAATACTGACCATCTCCTAGAGAGAAAATGATGGAGAGGCTGGACCTAGAAGATACACAGGGCATGTGCCATGGACTTGTAATCCTATTGTTCAACCAAGTTAATATGTTTGTGGCACTTGTTTCATTATTATACCCCATAAATGGCATCCCCAGCTTATATTTCATTCTGTATATATACAGTATTCCTGATTTTTTAAAAAATGTTTGCAAAGAAGTCATACAACCATGAAGACAGAGAAAATAGGGAAGGGCCTTGTACTCCTGTTTAAATCTTCTACAACCACCACTATGAGGGAGACTCCTGGCTTGTCAATCCAGGAGATAAGCAGCCGAGCAGCTAAGGGCTATCTCCAGTGAAGCTGGAATCTTTACCACAGAACTCTCTCTACTAACCTACTAGACATCTGCTCAGAAACAGTGACTATAGAGAAAAGGGAGGGGAGAGACCATATTGTCTCTCAAGGAAATCACCTCAAAATTGAAGTGCTGAACTGAACCCTGGGCAGAAGAGAGGACAAAAGTGCATGCTGGGAACTGGAGTTTTCATGGCCTTCCGTAGACCAGAGACTAAGACTACAGGGGTTAGTGAAGCTCCTTGAAAAATAGGAAGTGAAAGATAGATAGATCCATCTTCCAAAGTCGGACCCCAAAAGGGCAGGTGGCTGTCGGCTGAGGGGACACGGTAAGAGGCAACTTCTCCATTTAAAGTCCAGAGTCTATCTCTCTACCTCTCAAATCTGGGATGGTCATTCATGTGACACTCTGGCCCACAGAATCTTAGCAAAACGTTGAATCAGGCTTGAAAAGTGCTTGTGTCCTGGGGTTGGCCCCTCTCGATGATTTAAGTGTGATTCTGATATCAGGCACATACATGAAAGCATCAGAAAAAAAAAATGTCCCCAGTTGATTTGGAAGCTAACTGCTGTCATAGAAATCAGACAAGTGCATATACACGCACACATATACATGCACACACACTTACACACACCCCACATACACATGTGCATGCACACACACATACAAACCACAGACACATTCTCGTGCACATGTACTCACACACCCTATTCCCATACACACACATCTATGTACACACACACACACACACACACACACACGTCACATGTAAGCCTTACAGAAGATCCTACTAGCCAGCTAAGGCCAGCCTGAGGAGCAAACATGTTAACTCTGAAAGGACCTCTTCTGGAAGGAGAACAATTAATCACAAAAGCGCACTGCTCATTGAGAGAAGGCACGTGTTCTTATAAATCAGAGTTAAAAAAACGGTAACAACGAATTCATAAAAGATTTTAACTCCCTCACAGTTGATCAAGGAGCCAGAGGTACATCAGGAAGCATGACCCAAAGGAGCATGATAAAGGAATGAATAAATTCCCCTCTTCATAGCAAGCAACCTTTCTTTCCAATGGCCATGGACTCCTTCCCTATTCTATCCCCTCAAAGGAAAATGTCAATAAAATTAAACTTAAAGTCATGTATGTCTAAAGTGATTAAGTAAAAGTAATAGTAACACAAATAGAACTTTCAAATTTCACCTTTTAAAATTTAAGATGACTCTTAGAAAATAATTTGGGATTATGAAAGATAAAAAAAAAAACACCACCTCAGGTTCATATTACACAATGTAAAACTGAGAACACAACACATAGAAAATTGTATGGCACCAAGTGAAGTGGGAACCATGTGAAAATTTATAGCTTTACATATTTTCATTAGTAAACAGAAAGAAATAAAATGTAAATGAATTAAACACGCAACTTAAGAACCCAGCAAGGAAAAATAAAACCTAAGCTAAAAGAAAGAGATCTCAAGGGCTGATTCTTCTTAATGATCCACGACATTCACGATCAAGGAAAAGACGACCCATGAAGTGATTCAACACTAGCTGCACAGAATCACGTTGTAAACTCACATGTGGTGGAGACAGTGTTCACAAATGTAAACTCCAGATGAACTGGTATTTCAACAGAAGACTATAAATTTACTAAAATTAACTCAAACAGAGTTAAAAAAAAAAACAGGAACATATAGAAATCTTGAATGAAAATTAGAGGGTTCAAATACCTCACTGCCCCTCAGTGAGACAGTTCACACACTAATTCTCTCCTTCTCTCCCATCTAAAGAAGAGGAGTGGTCACTCCATGCTATGTGACCTGCTCCAGAGTCGGGAAGAGATGAAACAGTCTTTATTAGTCAATAATATGAGGCCACTGTTATTCTTGACCAGAAAATTAATAATAAAAATACAATTACACAAGTATAATGATAATGTTCAGAAACCCTAAGTAAAATAAGCTCATGTCTTAGGGAGGTATAGTCCAGGATGCAAAGATGAATTCATGTTGGAATGAATTCACACACTACAAATGGAAATGCACACTTGTTCTCTAATGGAATGATTTCATACCACAAAGACAACAATTCCAATCCCATAATTTACAGATACAACTCAGTCATCATCCAAATCCAACACGGAAAAACAAATACAATTGTCAGAAAATATTGAAAAAGAAAACAGACACGTTGGGCATAACAGGAATAAACAGCAAAATTACTATCAGCACATGAGCATGACAATACTGAGACAAAATATTTGCAGTAGCAGAATTAGAAAAAAATAAACATATACTAGCCAATGATAAAAAACAGGAAGATTGTGTGCTATGTTCACATATGGACAATATATGATGATTCAAGTTTACAGTGGAGAAAACCAAGGGAAGAAATCAAGCCCTATCTGTAATTAAGAATAAAAAATTTAGAAAGTAAATTTATAGGATTAGGAGGAGGAGGAGGAGGAAGAAGAAGACAACGACGACGACTACTACTACTATTATCTAATAACAGAAGGAGCAATGCTTTCAAGGACAGATACCAAATGTTAACAAGGGCATTTTCCCAGCATGGAATTAAATCATTTCTACTTTTGCTATTTGCATTCTTCATTATTTTCAACATTTTTCAAAAATGAAAGTGCTGATGTTGTCTTTATTAAAAATATTTTTGAGAAGCTGATTCCTCTGCCGTGCAGTATATATTCATTCACATATGCATGTACAGCACTGAAATTCATTGGAAGCATATATAAAGGAAATCTGAGCAGTGTGCCAATGGCAAGCACATGAATGTGACTCACCAAAAAATGATTGTATGTCTGAAGGAAATATTAAAATGAATAGCTCAGCACTGCAGTGATTGCACAGAACTGTATCTATTCGCTCTGTGCACTGGGCAGGAATTTTTCATTTCATACATCATTTACAGCTTGCTGCAATGATTCTGCAAGATCAGTCCATACCATTAGCACACACAAAGAGAAACACCCAGAATTCTCCCTGCTAGAAAATCCAAGTGTTTGAGAGGTTCACTATGTAAAAGGTTCACACTGTCTGAACCAAGGCTGCTCTGCCCACCAGGATGAAAAGCAGCAGGTGACAATAAACAGAGACCAACTATCTGAGGTCAAGCATGGGACTCTTCCACATCTACCATCCAAGCATGCCTTGTGCCTGTAGCCACACTTACTTTCCAAAGCTATTTAGACTAGATGAAAACAAAATGATCAAAGGCATGAGACAATCTCACCAAAGGGGAATGTTTTCGTGAATGGGAACCAGCTCTACTTTCTAAAATATGCTATCAAGGCATCGGATAGCAAGCCTGTGGGCTACTCAGCACTTCATCAAAATGATTATCTTCTGCATCTGCCACCGGACCCTGGTCCCTGATCTTTCTTAAGTGTTGCCATTTTCAAATGACCACGTGGAAAGTTTATACCAAAACACTGCGAAATTCTGTCTTGCATATTTCAGGCCACTGGATGGTGAAATGCTTCCAGAGTCCACAGCTCTATGAACACTCTCTTCCTCTAGGATAGTCAAGAGGCTCAGAAAAAGCAACTGTCAACCAACTTCTGTCTCCAAGAAACCTTGACATTCCAAAGCTCCCTGCTTCCCACCAAGAAAAACTCACATCTCCATTTGCTGGTGAGTGGACCTACAATATCCTTATCCACCTACAGACACAGAAATGACCCCAACAAATGACACCCAAGCCACTATCCTTGGAATTTATCATTGTGTTTCATTCTGGATTTAGAACCATGAGTGTCTAGACTTACATTACATCTAAACAAGGAATGTAACTTTAAACCATCTACAGGCACTCACCCAGACCAGCCATAAGTATACACCAAAATGATCCAAGCATGTGTCTTAGAAGGTCAGCACCTTCCTTAGAAGCTGCCCCTTGATCCCACTTTCATATGGCAACAATCTTTAGCAACTAGATTCACTTATCCAGAACCAAACATTAGCCAGTAGGTACATTATTTACTCTGTAATAGACGCCTAATGGCCAAAGTCAAATTCATGGCAGAGTATTGGAGCAAGAGAGATCTAGGTGTTTTCAAAGCAAATCCATTCAAGTTCAAGTTGCTCATTTTTATGTCACATGTATTCCAAATCATTATGTCTAAGAAATCTGACAGGAACACGTGCTCCTAGCTTCAAGCAATCTTGAACTTTGGATAAAACAAAGCACTCAGAGGAGGTGCCCTGATCATTTCTGGGACACCCCAACTGGGATGTGTCTACATACCAAGGTCAGAGGTCTTCTTTGATCTATTTCTCTTTTGGTCTCAGAAGAGTTCAAAACATTCCAGAAGCCTGCAAATATGAAAAAAAAAAAGTTTGGTTTCAGGAAAAGATCTAGAAAGTAGGAATCAAAGTCATTTGTGGAAGTTGAAAGCATATATGCTTGGCTAAAAATGAGGCCTATCTGGGGTTGTAGAACATGGTCAAAAATCTTCAAAGCCATGGGTGTGATGGTTGTAATGAACACAGAAGGCACTTCAGCTAAGAGAGAAAGCATATCTTCCAGTTGCAGAGAAAGCCTATGCCCTCCCTTCCCAAGGAGGAGAAGGAAGACGGTAGGAGATGCATACTTTCATTAAACAATTAGTTTCCATCTGTGGATACATTTTGATTCATTGCCAATACAATCTGAGAAAAGATGGGAGGGAATTTGTAATTTTTCTTACTGGTTTCCATGTAGGAAGAAAATAAAAGGGATTTTCTTCACCCATAATAGAAAACAAAATTCTAACTTAAGGATAAAGCTCTGGCAGGAGTCCATGGTGAAAATAGCCTCATACACACACACACACACACACACACACACACACACACACACACACACACACACACACACACGTAGGATAAAAAGCCAAACCTTAGGCTATATTTTGGAAAAAGGCCCCAAGTGTGAGTCACAGACATACCTAACATGTGTACTTAATGGTGACACAGAGATAACGCCTTCTTAATGGTGACACAGAGATAACGCCTTCTTAATGGTGACACAGAGATAATCTTAGCAGCTGAAGCTGTCCTTCCTTCCTCAACAGCACTGGGGTGGCAGTATCAGACGGCTCTCAGGTAAGAGAAAATTGATGCATGGAGTGAGTGCCGAAGAGGAAATCCAAAGTCCAGAAGCTAACAGGAAGAGCACAGGCCCAAATTATTTAGAAAAAAAATTCAGTAATGCTGCCCAGTGTAAGAATTAATCACTCATTTAGTCAAAGGGGAGAACAACCTACTTATTTATGATTTATTTTTAAGTGCAGAAGTGAAAGTCAAGACACCCAAAGGGTGATTTCCAGAAGCACTTGCTATTCTGATCCCCAGGGGATAATAGCTATAGAAATGAAGGGATTGGAGGGACAGCTGTGGCCGCAGAGGGGAGCTGCTCTGGAGGAGTGTGGTAAACAGACCGATCTGGTCGCCCTCTGCTCTGCAAGACAGACTTAAGAAGGACTATCTCAAGCCACAGTCTGAAGAAATGCACAGAGTCAATTATAAAAGTCAAGCATGAGCCTTAACTGTTTCATTAACATTGCAGCTACCAGAAATAGAGAAAGTTGGAGGTTAAAGGGGGTGAGAATGACCAAAACCAGGAAGAAAGAGCCAGAAATCGATGATAGAACTTAATTCAGAACAGTCTCAAGTCTTGATGGCTGCAGTTGGCGTTGCTAAGCCACTTACAAGATAAAAACCCTCTCTCTCTGAGCTGAGCCTAGTATTGCCCAATGTAGGTTCTTTAAGATAGGAAGTACCTTAGACAGGTAACCGATCCTCGTCCCCAAACTCAATATCCAATCCTCCCTGTGTGTACAAACCACACTTCAAACTCAAGGTACTTTTATGCATAAGGCCCCAGGAATGGTGCTTTGAAGAATGATTATGTAAAACATAGTAGTTGCTTAGAAGAAAATTCAACTCCACTTCCTTTGAAATAATCACAAGGAATGCCGTTATTTATACAGCCTGCAAACCTACCCATTGCACACTGCTTTAAGAAAAAGTAAATGACAACTGTAAGATTATTTTTTCAGAGATAGACTATACACACCAGAGACTCCTGGCATGCATGCACACACAGCTGTCTTTCATTATATTTTTGTCTAGTAAACAAACGCTGTTCATTCAAGTAATGCCGCTGTATTTTGAAACCACCCTTAACGTGAATTGTGGGGTGAGTACTGCACCATCATGCCACTTATAGAATGCTAAACTAGTCCAAAGTCCACTCCCTTTCCTCTCAGACCTCCAGAGATTAAGATCAGGAAGACTGGAGCATCAGGGTTTTAGAGTGACCCCCTAACAAACAGTCTCTTTGGACTCTCATGCCCCAAGAGGATCATCTGGCTACGTAGACACAACATGATTTGACAAGTCCACACTGTCACAAAGTCCCCGAGTAATCTTACAATCCCTAAATCAAATCAGAATCTGCAAGAAACCAACGAGGTATCTATGCAACATTTTCCAAGAATGATAAGGGAGCCACCAACGTAGAAGACATAGAAAGAGGAAACAGTGGCATGCGCTAACCCTCAGCATGGTTAGAACCAGAGCTACTTACAACCCCAACTCAACCCTGTCTTCTTGGTGGTAAAGCAGAGGCTTTGTTTCAACAGACCTTTATCTACAAAAGCAGGAAGGAAGTCAGGATTAGCTCGTGGGCTGTAATTTACTGATCCACACCTTGGAAGTTCACCAACAGTAGTGATTATTAACTTTCAGTATGGCTTACATATATTTGGGCACATATGACAACATGAATTAGAATCCAGGGACAAAAGAAAACTGTCAGGAGAATAAGATGGAAGATGGTCCAGTTCCTTGATGCCTCTGGGTATCGTAGAGGTCAAAGTAAAGAGGATCAACTATATGCTGGATTGTGACAGACATCCAATACCTATTCTTTATAATAGTTTAGGTTATGTGGCAAAGGGGAACTTAATATGTAATCAGCTAAAGTTACAATAAGATTGTCTCAGGTTTGTGAAAAACTCCCATTGTCTTTTAGAAATAAAACACTGTGATCTGACCCAGGGACTCACTATGAAGTCCAGGCTGACTACACCAAAGACGGCCCTGCCTCGGTCTCCCGAGTGGCCCTGGCACAGCGGGCACCACCCCCGGCTCATTAAATAGTGGAATCAATAGGTCTTGGTGGTTGATGAGTTAACATAAGCTAACACAAGCGAGGCTCCTGGGTTTACTTTATATATGAAAGGAGGTCTCTAATGTATGAAATAATCTACCTTCCCCAAGAAAACGTCTAAAAAGAGCCCCTCCAAGCAGAAGGAGACCACATACCCTTACCACTTACAACACCCTAGAGAAGTAGCCACATGGTCCCACAGACTGACCCCAGGGGCTGCTTTTATAGCTAGTCAGAGCTGCACGACCACGGTCTGAGAGACCACTCGAGGCACATCAGCTAATCCAGCAAGAGTTGAAGCAGGCCAGGCTCAGTTCAGAAGCCTCCTTTGCTCTGCGAGAAAAGGATCTCCCCCCCAACTTACTCAGCATCTAAATAGCTGCTTGTCTTAGACAAAGAGTTAAGGGGACCTGAGTCAGAGGGCCATGGCTCACAGCATAGCATCTCCTAGAGGGCCTAGAAATAAGCTTTGCAAAGGAAACCTGGTAGTGATTGCCATGGTTTTTATGAAAATTAAAACCCCAGGAAACTTTGTTAAATTTCACATATTCCTTTGCAAAGCTTATCCACAACCAGAGACACATGGTGCTTAAGAAGCATAAAGGAGCCAGGCAGTGGTGGCGCATGTCTTTAATCCCAGCACTCGGGAGGCAGAGGCAGGTGGATCTCTGTGAGTTCAAGGCCAGCCTTGTCTACAGAGTGAGTTCCAAGACAGCCAGGGCTGTTACACAGAGAAACACTGTCTTAAAAAAATATAAGGAAAAAAAAAAAAGAAGCATAAAGGAGATTTTTATATGCACAGGGACCAGTCCAGGCTCTGTTTGCACACTTTGTGATAGGCATTAAGCTTTCTGTGACCCCAGACTAAAACCATATAACCCCAAAGTAGTCTGCCTGAAGTAAGAAACACACTTCAAATTAATTGGGGGTTGTTGGACTTCTGAGCTGGAAATGCCTCAGCAGGTGTTTAAAAACTTTCAATCTATGCCTCGCCACCATAAACTTGAAACCATGTTTCACACATTGGGAATTGTTTTTAAAAAATGGTCATAATGATTTGTCTCACACCTTTGCAATTTGACCTTGAAGCTCCCCAACTAGGAGTGGTGTTTTTTTTTCCTCTACCTTTCAACTTGGTCATGGTTATGTTATTCACTTTGGTCAACTGAACATTAACCAACCTAATGCAAGATGGGGCTTGAAAAGCACTTGGGGACTAGGACATTCCCTCTATGGGCTACTTTTGGAATCCTGACCCCTATCATGTGACTAAACCCTACTGGACGCCAGAGACATAGAGCTCAGACCACCACTATCCCCATCATCAGACTTTTGTCCTTACCACAGCCACTCAGTTATGAAGGTTATATATAGCGCCGCCCACATAACCCAAAACCAAAGACTGGTGAGCAGTAGAGAAAATGGCTCAGGTGGTAAAAATGCTTATGGCAAAAAATGTCAAGACCTGTGTTTGATCCTGCAGGACTCATGTACAAAAGCTGAGCATGGTAGGTAGTATATATCTATATATAATCCCAGGGTTGGGAGACAGAGACAGAAGGATCCCTGGGGCTTGCTGAAAAATCAATGAGCTCTAAGTTCAGTGAGAGACTATGCTTCAGTGTGTGTGTGTGTGTGTGTGTGTGTGTGTGTGTGTGTGTGTGTGTGTGTGTGTGTGTGTGCGTGCGCGCATATATACATGCGAGAAGCAATTGAGGAAGAAACTCAACATCAATTTCTGGCCTTCACAGACAAGTGCATACCTGTGCACATAGGTGCATTCACACATGACTATGTACACAGAGACTTACACACACGCATGCACGCACACAAGGTAGATGAACAAATTAAATAATAGTCTTTGGCTTCTGGAGTTTGAATGGTATATTATCCACCAATGTGTCAATAGTCTATGGCACACATACCTAATGCCCAATCCCTGGATGAGGTAGAATATATTAAAGTAAACACTCATCCACAGGGATGAAGAATGGTTCATCTGCTCACCAACACAGGCTGTGCAGGCTCTCTGGGTTATCAAAACTAAACTGCAATGTGTTCTCCCTGTTGTTTCTGTTCCTAGTGTATCAGCTTCAGTAGAAACAAGTATGCCTTAAACAAGACAAGAAGCCCTGCTGCTGTGGTCGCCTGCTGTGGT